GCCTTCAAGCATCAGTACCCCGGGGTTGGGTGCCAGATCGATGTCTCCAGACAGGAGGGGCAGTCTGCTGAGGGCATCAGCATACCCCATCGCCTTGCCCAGGCAGTGTTCCAGGCGGTAATTGTAGCCAGCCAGGAAGAGGGACCAACAAAGAACCCTGGGCGAGAGTACCTGCGGGGTCCGTTTGTCTGCCACAAATAAGCCGAGGAGAGGCTTATGGTCAGTTGCAATAGTGAAGGGGCACCCATACACTAAGTTATTAAACTTTTTCACCCCAAGCACAATCGCCAATCCCTCCCGCTCTATCTGTGCATAATTGCACTCGGCGGCCGTCAAGGTCTGTGAGTAGTAGGCCATGGGGACCTCCCGGCCATCAGGAAGAAGGTGGCCCAGAACTGCGCCAATGCCGTAGGGGGAGGTGTTGCACGTGAGGACTACAGGTAGGGATTCATCAAAGTGCGCCAACACCTCATTCGAGATGAGTAGCGCTCTGACCCCCTTGAACGCTGCTGCCTTCCTCAGGCCCCATGACCAGGGCGCTGATTTGTCTAGAAGGCAGTGAAGAGGCTCTACAGCCGCAGCCTTGTGTGGCAGAAAAGCATGATAAAAATTCAGGAGTCCTGAAAACGCCTGAAGTTCTGCCTTGCATGTGGGCCTTGTTCAATGTACATTTATAGTCCACACAGATGCGGATGTCACCGTTGGTCTTGACAGGGGTTACAATGGGGGTCTCCCATGGCGCATGGGAGACCAGTTCAAGGACCCCTTGTGCCACTAAATGGTCCAGCTCCGCATTGATTTTCGACTGCAAAGTGAGCAGGGCAGTGCGGAACTGCATGTGGATGGGGGCAATTTGGGGGTCGAGTTGCAATGAGACAGGGGCCCCCTTGTAACAACCCAGAGCCCCATCAACAACTTCAGGGAATTCCCCACAAACCTCAGCAAAATCCCGCAGCACACATTTATTCACACCCCCGACTGTGGTGCCCAACAGCGCAAACCACGCCCACCCCAATAAGCTAACCAAATTCCCCTCCACAACAATCAAGTCCAGGAAACCCTCAAACCCCAGGTACTTCACCCGGAAAGTCCCCACACCCCGTATAGGAACCGGGTTCCTCTGGAAGTCCACAAGGCTCAAGGGTGAAGGCCGCAAGTGGGGCTCACCAGACAAAGTCTGTTCAGCATTTCCACAGATATGATGGAGGCTGCTGACCCTGAGTCCACTTCCATTGAGCAGGGGGACCCCTCGATCGTAACCTGGACCTGGATCTTCGGGGCTGCAGGCAAGTTGGGGAGGTGTAGTACCTGTAGTGAGGGCTGGCTGGTCAGGAGGTATAGATTGTCTGTGCCCTCGGTGGTCTTGTAGTGCGTGGAGGCCTGGTGGTGTGGTTGCGACTGTGGTGGATGGTTCCAGTTGCCCTTGGATCTGCAGACGTGAGCAAGGTGTCCTTGTTTTCCACATGTGTGGCAGTTGGTGTCACAGAACCAGCACAACGTGCGCTCATGCGCCTCTCCGCAGCTGGCGCACAGGGAATGTCCGGCAAGCTTACTGGTGTGTCCGGAGGCTCCGGCGGATCCTGGTGGTTTCCGGCGGTGGGGTGTGTGGACAAGACGGACATCGTCCTCATGTGAGGTCTCGAGCGCCGAGTTGGGGAGCACTAGATGGGACGCTGCTGGTGGTTGGTTGCAGTGGGAGGTCTTGTGGGCGATGGTGAGCTGGAGGGCCTCATTAAGTTTGATGTCAGATGTGCCGATCATCTGTCTGTGGAGCTTCACGTCGCTGATTCCCCAGGCGAACTGGGTCAAGAGGTTCTCCTGCACCTTGGAGAAGTCACACTCCATAGCATGTTGGCGCAGTGCGGCCTTGACTGCGGCGGCCATCTCGCCAGGCTTCTGAATGCGCCCCTGGAATTCCATTTGCTTGGCCAGCGTCATTGGCTTGGGCGTGAGGTACCTGGTCAGGGCGTCTAAGATCTCCTCGTACGTACACTCAAGAATAGCCTTCAGGGCCAGGAGGCTCTTCGCGAGCCAGATGGTGTTCACGCCACAAGAGCTGAGGAGGAGAGCCCTTCTCTTGCCCGCATTGGTTATCTCATGGAAGGCAAGATGGCAGGTTAGCTGGTCCATCCACGAATCCCAGAGCTCAGGATGAGTGGGGTCAAAAACCTTGAGGTGTCCCAGAGTGGAGGCCATGACTCTAGCATGGAGCGGGAGAGTGGTGTACAATGACGCTGGGCACAGTGCGGTGCTGCTTGGGAGTGGTGCGGGCGTGGTGGCGTTTTCTGGAACGAAGCAGCAGCCAGTGTCCTCTACCACTGCTGCTGGACCCACCACGGCTGGGTTAGAGCAGCTGCCAGCAGGGTTCCTGGGCTGCATCACTGCCGAACCCAGCATGACCCACTGCCAAGATAATTTGGAGGAGATTTACCCCCCCCCTGCTGAGAAAGATTGAAGGTAAAAGAAGAAGGGGATGACAAGGGATGAGATGGTTAGACAGTGTTATTGGTGTAACAAACATGAAGTTGAGCAAACTCCGGAAGATGACGGAGGACAGGAGGGCCTGGCGTGATGTTGTCCATGGGGTTGCAAAGAGTCAGAGTTGACTGAGCGACTGAATAACAAGTATTTTAAAACAATTTTCAGATTTTCCTGCACACCTGAGGAGTGCCCCAAGTGTGCAGAAAAATCTCTTTAGCCTCAGTGTGACCCCAGTCTGTGGATTTAAGTATTTGCAGATGGAGGCCACACGTGGCTAATAGTATACAGATTGAGCATGGACATATTTTTAGATATTTGGAAACTTTTTATAGAGGCGTATCTATAGACTTCCACCATTGTTGTATTTTGTTATATTTTTTATTTCTTTCTATTTGGAGGCTTGATTTGTAATTTAAAAAATTAAAATGTTTTTAAAATGAAAAGGATTCTAGAGTACTGGGAGGGATGGGGAGAAAGAACCATTTTCTCACTGATGTGTGGAATGAAGAACACTAAAAAAGAAAATTTAGGGAAGGTTCTCATGATTACGGTACATACAGGGAGGAGATTATGAAGAAGAAGGGGTATCACATATCCTGCAGAATCTAAGGGCTTATTCAACAAATGAAGGATTCAGAGGTTAATATCTTGAGAAAGGATGTATGTATTACATTATATCTTGCCTTTCTTTCAAAGAACAGGGTAGCATATGTGTTCAATAGGTCTCTCTTTTTCTTGCCTCTCATTTTTAACTTTACAACAGCTCTGTGAGCTTTGGGGCTGAAAGGAGAATTGAATCTGGGTCTCTCTGGCCCATGTCCAAAAACCCTACTTGGTTTTATTTATTTAGCACATTGTTATCCTACTCTTCCTCCAAGGACCTCATGGCAGTGAACATGATTGCCTCTCCATTTTATCATCACAACAACCCTTTGAGGTAGGCTAGGCTGACAGAGTGTGACTTTTCTAAGGTCACCCAGAGCTTTTAATGAGAAGTAGGGATGAACTCTGGGTCTCCCAGTCCAGCCCTTTAATCACTACACTACACTGTATCTAACTACTACACCTCTAGTTTTTATCTGTGGGGATAAGCACTTCCAGAATGCTTTGGCCTCATCTCTTCATTGGCTTCCTTGAGTCGTAAACATCTGCAAAAGTAAATTTCACCATCTAGAGATGCATCAGTATAAAAAAAGGAAGGGCTACCTTATCGCCTCTGATTCATTTGTTGAAAGTTTATTACCCGGGAAAGTTATGTATGTTAAGGATGTCCCTAAGAGATGCAAAAACATGAATGTTCAAAGAGCTGTTGACCAGTTTACTATACAGATGGGACCACAAACCATGCAGGAACAGCATGAAAAGAGTTATTGTGGTGGCCAGAACCAGGCATAGGATCTGGGACTGATTGTTTCCTTAGGACTGGGCTGGAGTTACTATATGCAGCAGGAAAAATTGAAAAAAGAATATCTCTTCATTCTTTGAAGTGAACGTGTTTTCCTATTTGCAAGGCTCCTAGAGTTACAGTTCGAAGACATGGTTGTTAGTGTGCACGTTTTCATAACGGTAGGTTAGTGTCAGGAAATGATTTGTTTTTCTTCTGGTCACCCAAAGGTTAGAACAAATGCAACAATTGCTTCTTGCTAGGTTTCAGTGAAGAGAGGTGTTTGCACAGTTCTTTCCAAATATACGACTGCACGACTCAAAATGATTACAGGTCAGGTATCTCTATTTCAAAGGTGAAATTAAAAGTCTTTCATTTTTTGCAGGAGTGATTTTAAATGGCAAGCCCCGTGGTTGTGTTTTTGGTGAGGGAGCAGCAGAAATAGTAAGGTCTTCTGTTTCTTTCAACCAACCTAAGCAGCAAATGCAAGCACTGCTGCTTCCCTTACATGGCCAGATTCACTGCTTGAATAGAAATTAGCTTACACAGAAATAAGGCACTAGCAAAGGCAATTCATATGTTTTTTGGAGCAGCTGGATTTCATGCTGCTCTGATGACATCTTTTAGGAAGAACTGTGTGGGTTGGGCAGCTACTGTGGTTACTTCTTGTACCAAATCCTGGTGTGAAAAATAATGGCAGTCATTCAGACCGCACCGTTCTTTGTAATAGACATTACTGGAGCACTATGGATTGAACCTGACCTCAACCCCACCCCTGCATGGGTATCTTTTCTCTTTGTCTTGGTTTAATGCTACATTCACTCTGTGTGTGCCTTCTGTCCGGGTAGACTTACTTCACTTACTCTGATATAAGTGAACACAAAATTGTTGCCTGGGGCTGTAATCCTAGATAGGCATACTTGGAGTAAGCTGCATTGAAGCCACTAGGATATTATGTCCTAGACAAATGTACATAAGATTTGTAACGTATCCAGGCTGCAAGACAAAAGGCCATTTTTGACAGCTGAAATCTTTTTTTCCTCCTCTTTTTCTTTGAACCATCCAGAAATATATCATCTATATTTTTCAGTAACTGAACATCTGTAACTTACAATGTATATGCTTGCATTTACAGGGCACACATTATAACAGACTTCATGGGCATCAGAAATGAAAGTTTTATGAAGGTAGCAGCAGTGGGGACCTGGATGGGAGACTTTGTCACAGCTTGGATGGTAAGAGGTTCTGAAAAAACACCAACCTGAAACAAGAAAAACATGATGATTTATTGAAAACCCAAAACACAAATTTTAAGCAATGTTCATACCAAAGAAGTTCCACAGTCATAGTGGCATGGTAGTCAGCTGTTGGATACGTTTGTGACGAAGAAATCCAAAGCTGATATAGGCTGCTTTTACTTGGAGGTTTTGCTCAGGTTTTAGGTCTAAAATGGAGTGTGTGTGTGTGTGTGTGTGTGTGTGTGTGTGTGTTTGGAGCATCCATCCCATGTCTTTCCCCTAATTTTCCAGTATCCATTTTTTCCCGCCACTTTGCTGTGATGTTTCCCAGCCCTAGTTTGGTATGATCTTTTGGGAAAGGTTGCAGTCACAGTGCCTTTGCGCTGTGTGTGAACAGGAAAGTATACATCACTGCCATCTTCCTTGCCTCACTTCCCCATGGTTACCCCTCCTCCTAGCATGGGGAGGGA